ACCTACATTTATAATTATATTTTCATAAATCTCAACATCAATATACCAGATCCCACGACAATTCAGTCCAACATTTAGAAACCTTTTAAATTCATAAACGCATGCAGGTTTTATTTAGCCTAACTTAAAACAATATTATCCATTGTGTATGTTTTTTTAATATGCACAATGCAGAAATGAGCACTCTGACTCTCTCGCTCTCCTCATCCCGTCTCAAGACCTTGACAGGAGTTTGAAATTTCCGGGCTTATGTTGAAGGCTGCCATTGGCCCAGGAGGAGCTTACCTACATGCAAATGAAGCAACGAAACCTTGCTGCCTCTGGTCCAGAGCGTGAGGAGGAGGACCAGGAATACACTCACGTTCCCCGAGCTCTAGAAAAAACACCTTCAACTCCTTCAATGTTAAAACTCCACAATTAAACCTGCTAGAGGGGGGGGGAAACAGAAGACAAAAACCGCTTTCGTAATTTCTACGCACCAATCGTGTAGATACCGATAACGGAATACAAGGGGCAGACAGATTCAGGCAATACCTCAATACTGTTATGAAGCGAGAATGAGTGTCGCAGAAGACAGCGGGAGCAAGTGCTCGTCGGGCCCGATTTCCAGCTTTACCATCCAGTCTATTTTAGGGACGCCGTCCGATGCTCCGCGCTCCGGGAACAAGGAGCTCTCCAAGGGGCCGCTGCCTCCGCCGCGGAGGCGCTCTCTGTCAGTGTCCTCCGAGGAGTGCAGCGGCGGGGAGGACTCCGCGGACTGCTTCTGCTCCGACACGGGTCACAGCGAGCCGTGCACCACGCACCGAGCCCACAACTTCTGTTTAGGTGAGTAATGTTTTACTATTTACAGTACCATTTTTAATTATTAACTTCAAAAGGGAACGACCTATTCAACATAATTTAAACGTCATGACACACATGCTGCATGCACTTATAAAATACTTTACTTGTTAAAAGGGCATGACAATAGGCCTACATTAGCTTATCTTTTTTCTTTTTATAAACAAGCCTCCTGTTTCCAAATTTTTTTGCACTTCAGCTAGGCTACAATTTCATAAGCCCGTGTTTGTGACTGTCACACTCATGCAGCTCATCCTCTGCCACTTGTTTGTTGTGTGCACACAATCCGCAGCAGCGGAAGAGTGAAAGGTCGAATAATTATCCCTCTGTCTTTCCTCTCATTTCAAATTTAATTGAGGCTGCTAATTGATGAAACATGTTTCTAAAATGGCTGCACTACACGTCGTCAATTGAGCGTTAAATAGAGCGGGATTGTATTAATAGCTGACTGTATACACCGAGCGTCCTCATGCTGAATTGTTTATTTAAAAAGTCACCGGCTTTCAGCTGTCGATTTAGGAAGTCAGAGTTCACACTTGACGAACTCTCAAACTGAGTATGCTGGGGAAATAAGTGATTTTTGGTTTTTTTCAATCGTGTTTTTAAATAAATATGTATTTCTCGGTTATGATATCAACCACCACCTTCTCCTCGCGCTTATAGGTTCCGCTAAAGGACTTCTGTCTGGGAATGAGGGGCTCGCGCGCCGGCCGCACCTGCCCAAGCCTCTGCGGCAGGACTATAAGGAGGAGCAGGAGAGACCGTGCCACCAAATGTCCCCTCTGTCGGAGGAGAGACACACGGACGGGGCTGACAAGCAGGGCAACTCGACCAAGAAGAAGACGCGCACGGTGTTTTCCCGGAGTCAGGTGTACCAGCTGGAGTCCACCTTCGACATGAAGCGATACCTGAGCAGCTCGGAGAGGGCCTGCTTAGCCTCCAGCCTGCAGCTGACCGAGACTCAGGTCAAGACGTGGTTTCAGAACAGGAGGAACAAATGGAAACGGCAGCTATCAGCTGAACTGGAGGCGGCGAACATGGCCCACGCCTCGGCACAGACACTAGTGGGGATGCCGCTGGTTTTCAGAGATAACTCCTTACTGCGTGTTCCGGTTCCCCGGTCTATCGCCTTCCCGACGCCCCTTTATTACCCGGGGAGCGGCCTGGCAGGGTTACCTTTATACAACCTGTACAACAAGATTGAGTACTGAAAGACTCTTTGTCCACCACTGCAGTAAATTACAAACAAAACAACATTCTTATAAGTGTCTCCACATAACCCCTGTATATTAATTGTATCACTTTATTTGTTAAGGAAATTCTTATTATGCAGCGTCTCACATGAAAGCAACCAAGCTTCTCTAAATGTATAAAATACACCATGTGTATAATTAATTACAATCTTTTTTGTACTTTTATTTCCTTCTTCTGCTTTAACTGATTACATAATGGAGTTTAACATTCATATCACATTCAAGAAAAAATAGACTCCACACCAAAATGCTTTTACACTGTTTTTATTCAGAATTGGTTCTTCACATATATTGCAAAGCATCAGTCTTTTTATTTCACTTGAAAGGAAAAATATAATTATTCCATTTGAGGAAAAATATCGTTGTTTCTATTGTAATTTAGACCTTCAATAATAATCTTCTCATTCAATAAATTTTTCTATTTCAGTGAAAATTGAGCTTGCTTGGTTTTATTTCTTGTAACGTTTTGTGTAATTTAATGTAACTATTGACAACGTTAGATGTTTAATACAACTAATGTATAATAGTTTTTTTTGTAATATAACTATGATCTCAGATATAATCAGAAATGAAAGTCAGTTTTTTTTTTCTTGTAGAGCTGCACTAATTTTCAACTAGAGGATGTTAACAGAGGCACTTCAAACTAAAAACACCTCTGCTTTAATCATGACTCAAGTGAGGAAAAAACTTGTAATACTCTGGTGTCAATATGACATTTCTGTTTATACAACCGTTTACATTGACTCACATATTTTACCTTATACTTGCTATTATTAAATCAAATATTACGTTGTAAGCTTCTTGACAGGTGCATTGTAATTGTATCTGTAAATACAGTGTGACATGTGATGCATTGTTTTCCTTTTTCAAGCCTCACACTGTACTTTCATATTTTTTTGATTCTTAAGTAAATAAGCCAACAAGCAGAATATATCAAGCGGTGTTGTGAACTGCAGATTACGATATAATGCAACAATTTTAAAGCCATACTTTCAGATTCATTTTGAATTTATAAATACAGCTCGCCATTGCTTCACTGAGGCAGATTAAACTGAGCAAGATGCCTTGTAGAGTGACCACATTCAGAGGTAAATAAGAAGTAGATGCATTGCAGGGTCGAGAAGAGATGCACACCCTCACAGGCCAATCCTGCCTCTGGGCTGGATCTGCTCTCATTTGAAGTCTGCCTCCTGTGGCTCTCTAGCATCAGGCCTTGGAAGGGGAAACATAATAAAGAGGCATATTGTCAAAGTGCAAGACTTGTGCCATCATTAATCGAAGCTGTTCTCTTGTTTCCATCTGTGAAATGAAATACTGTATCGGTTACACTTACCATACAAACTATGCCTTTTTATATCAGAAGCTAGTTTACATTTTCAAAGGTCCAGCTCACATTAAAGTGCAATTTACGGTTTCATAACAATTTAATATATGGAAATACTAAACACAAGCCTGGAGAGAATCGCTCACTCCCAAATGCCCATGTGGTTGATGGGGAGCGATAAAACCGTGTCATTTGCCAGCTTTTCTTGGGTGCCACATAATGTGCAGGGACCACCAACACTCAGCCAAACCCTGCTACCCATCCCACCGTGTGTGCTAATGGCTACATTACCTAGCAGAATCATGACTAGCCAGGCTCTGCTGCCCTGCAGATTATGCCTGACCCAATTTCTGCAACAGCCGCCCTGTGTTTCCGGGAAAATGGATAGCGTTAGACAACAGCAGTGATTTATGGGTAACTCCAGCACCAGCGAAGAGGTGAGGCGCAGGGGGATGAATTTGTGACAGATAAGAGAGGGAGAAAAAAAGAGAGATAGAGAGAGGGATGGGGGACCGTAACGCTTATGAAAAGGAGCAATAGCTTTGGTTGAATGAAGCTGTTTATTAGTTTCCAAGTGGTCATTATGTCATCAGGTGTGACGGCAATGCGCTGCTCTTTTGGATGGATGTTTGCACCCCACTAACTTGTGGGAAATCTGCATGACCTGTCACCTGAGGTTGTTTGATTTACAGGACAAGGAGAGAGAGAGATGTGTGGAGATGCGGCGACGAGCAAAGGGGAGAATAAGCGAAAGAGAGGGAGGAGGGGGTTCGATGTAACTATGTATCACTGCAATGGCAGGTGTGAATTACACATTTTAATAGCAGGGCAATGAAAATGATTTGAAGTGGTTTAAACTGCAAAGAGACAGCGACTGGCATGGTGATGAAGATTTGTTGAGATGATGTGTTGTGCCTTAGGATTCATCAAACCTGCCTGCTAAGGTGAAAAGCAAGTGTAATTCACCCTGAGGTATAATTTATGATGGGAGTAATGGAAACTGTGGGCTACACAGTGTGGAGAGGCAGAGACAGAGAGCACAGGGCAAATTGATTCTCAGGATAGTTTTTAGAGCATATTTACAGGATCGTAATGAATTATACTAAAACCCCTGGATAACACTTCTTTTACACCTTCAGATAAAATGATGAAAACTAACTTAATAGAAACCCCATTAAATTTAAACCGGCTGCATAAACATTTATTTTTTCTATATTTATAAATCTCTTCTAATATTTGAAGATCTCTTTTTCTTCATCATTTATTTGGAGGAGGGCTTTTCAACTGCCTAACATATTTACAGCTATTTGATTAAAGAGGGCATGTGTGGCTTCTTATTAGAGTGGAGGGTTATGAAGTATAACACCACGAGCAGATGCACAGCCTCGGGTCTGCCTCAAGACAAGAGTTTTAAAAGCGATCGCAATGCATTAAGCCAGACAACTCTCAAGACCTGTTTGCTCCCTAAATGAATTTGAGGGGAGCGTAACAAGGTTTTTGAGGCAGGCCCTGTCATCCGCTGGCTTTACCAGCTTCTGTATTTATGGGTTAATGGTTAAAAAGGAGAGCTTGGACCAGAAGTGATTTTTCATGATTCTGTTTTATATCAACTGGAAATGAAGGAGCTGAAGGGAAATTGTGTTTGTCCCCCCCTCCCCAGCCCCTACTCCTTCTCCTTAACAGCAGTGCATATACTGAACCGGGATAAGCCAATATATAGAAAAGTATACTTAATAAAATATGGTAAAATAATAGATTGCAAATTATTTGGTCAAAACACATGGATATACCAAGCTTTTACCAGAAATGGATTTCCAATTTTATTTCAGTCTTTAATCAATGTTCTTATGGCTTATTTTGAGATGTTTATAATGAAAGTTCAAAAACAAGAAACTCTGTAATTGTAACTCCCCAAGAACAATATTTAACCAAAAGTCTAGATAAGGGCTGAAATGCCAAAATGCATTATGCTTCATTGTTAAATTACTAACCTTTTCTTGAAGTGGCCGTTTTGGAGTGCCATTCGCTGTCCAATATGCATCAAACTATTACAGGCTGCGGGAGAACTCCACTATTACTCTAGAGATAAGCCCATTAGCATTACCTTTGACACAATAATGGATGTGAGATACAATTCTCTGCTCTCCATTTTGTATTTGTAAGGATAATAGGGGGATTATCTTGAAGGCCTTATGCTACATACTGAAGAGTGAGACCACACTGAGGAGAGAGAGCTCTGCAACAGTTGTTTTCACATCCTCCCCTCCCTCAGCCCTCCCCTCTGCTCCAAGACCCTCTCAGAGAGCGGCAGGGAAGATAAAGCATGTCATTATTCTATTAAAGACCTACAATTTTTGTAATGGGACTTGCAGCGGTCGGCAGAAGTGCAGGCAGCTTCTTCAATATCCTGGACATTATTTGCTCGTTTAGTTAAATGATGTTTCTAATTCCCTCATAATTACTTGTAATGAGGCTGTCTCCCTCGTTTTGATGCAGCAACATCTTAATACAGCATGGCATTCTTTTTTAGGGATAATTACCTCTCATGAGGCCGGGCAGCAAGGCTGGGGTTTGTTGTGCGCTGCACACGTGGCAAATTGGCTTGTTTCCTGCCATCTTGTCTTCCTGCAAATTGGTAAATTAAGTTTCTCGGCTGGAGCATTAGAACTGTTACGTTTGCTTTCTCGGGTCCTTCAAATGATTGGCTTCACTGACAGAGAGATGGCTGTGTATTCTGTGTTTTGTCTTATTAACCTTGTAGACTGTTTATCTACAGAGTGTACAGTACATGTTAGGGGGGCTGAATGTTAGAGCATTACAGAACAAATCTTAAAGTAAGGGCAATTATTTAAACTTGTATTCCAGATCAGAGCTACTAAAAAAAATTACAGATTCATAAAATGACTTGTTAATCTTAATCTTAAATGATGCATTATTTTTAATAAAAGTAAAAAACAGCGAACTAAAACTATATTTGAATGTAATTTACTTCAATTATTATATGCACAAATTAGGTTGATTTATTGTAGTGAACTATGCAGGTCAGGTCCTTTTCTAACCGGCTATTAGAAGGAGCGACTTGAAAGTGGATTTTCGTCATGCTTCAAAAACATAGAAACATTACTGCTTTGAAATGAAATGAACTGAGTATTGACTTTGGCCAAGCGAAATGAAAGAACATTTAGCTCATTTATTGTAGTGTAATAGATAACAGTTGAGCAATAAAACACTGCCACCGTGTCAACAAAGCCAGTGGAGGACCAGCAAGTCTTTTCTTAATCTTAATGATAATAAAAAAAAACTTTCAAAATTCAGAAATCTTTGAACGGATTTCCCCTCTCCTGTTTCCCTTCAGCAGCAGAGTGTCTGTGCTGTCCCTCTGAAATGATCCAGCTGCCGTACTCCAACCGCAGCCGTCGCAGGGTTGGCTGAGGGGTTTTTATTTCTAAGTGCTGATGTGTCGCAGACAGTTTGGCTCTACAAGGGCCTGTTATACGCCGATTAAAGAGAGGGAAGGAGTGCTCCCGCAGGGCCGTCTTGTACATTTACCCTGACCACAAAAAGGTCTAACGTTTACGCCCCGGTGCTGACATGACCTTCAAACAAGGTCCCACTGCTGCCTGGGTGGATACTGGAACTGTCTGGAGGAGACCCGTAGTGAAACTAACAGACAGACAGGAAGAAATCATATCTTTTATATCAGGAATTACCAGTCTGCCATATCCTTTGAAGTTAGGAGATATGGCTTTTATTGGGAAATACAGGAAAGGATAGTTATTTTTCGCACTTATAAGGCTGAATGTGATTGTGATTTCCCAAAAGCTTTTGTCAGTTCCATTGAATGTTGGAACATGATATAATAAGTATATTTTCTCCATTAAAATCACCTAGCTTGAACAAACTGACAACCACAAAGGGCCACTAAATAATTAATTACCAAATCCAGTCAGTCATCCAATGGTGGGAGACAAACACATCACTTGCTATTGTTTTTATTAGTGAGAGCACAGACAGAATCTCAAGTGATCCTCTTGTCTTTGCTGGGTCAGT